TCTCTCTATCTCTCTCTCTCTCTCTCTCTCTCAGAAGTTGTGTGAAGGTATGTATACCTGTATTACATTAAAGCAAGACTTGGTTATTATGTTAGTGTAGAAAGAAAGGTGTATTTGTTGGAAAGTAGTCTCATAGGGGACGGCCAGAGGGACAACGTTTGGGCTCTCATTGTTAACAGAGTTTTAGATCCGTTTGAAAGGAACTCATATGAAAAGTATTCGAGTCATGAATACAAGTCTCGGCAAGTTTTATGTATTGAAATGCTTGCCTTTGCATTGGCTTTGCATTGGCTTTGCTTTAATGTAAGAAATTCTTGTGCAGACAATCATCCAAAATAGGTGTGCAGTGCAGGTGAAAGAGCGGCCGACCCCTCCTCACCTGCTTTGTCCTATCAGTCCTTTGTTAATATCATTCAATACAACACATGACCAAAAATAGTTGCAAATCGTAAACATTTTAACTATTCATACATTCGGTTTGATTGCAATTTAGTTGAAAACATATTTTTATCAAAGTTTTCAAATATAAATTGAAGTTATTGTTTGCTATAAGTTTTTTGTCATCAAAATAATCAAAATTTAGTTATTCTCAAAATTTTCAGATTAAATGCTATATGAAATAAACTTTAAACAAACTAGGTTGTAAAAATGGTAAATACTTTAACCTTTATTGTTTTTGTGACATTTATTTTTAGATAGTTTTGAACAAAAACAAAAGTTTTCATACTTTTGAGTAGAGTATAAATTGATGTATTGTTGACTAGTTTCCGAAAGTGTGTTTTCAAATGAATAATAAGTGATTGAGAGTATGTATTGAGAGCTCTAAATAGATCCCAAGATTTGGGTACGGATTTTAAGGCCATTAGTTTATTATTGGACACAAATCTTACATTTGCAGTATATTTAGCGAAAGTGAAGTTAACCTTCAATTTGTCTCAACTTTTATAATAAGTTTCTCATAATAAGAGACAAAGAAATTTCATCTTTAATTCCATTCATTCTTGTATTAAAGACAGAATATATTGCCTCAAAACAGACTAAATCTTTAAATATTTTCAATCAATTGCAAACAGTGTCAAGGTGCTTTTACAATATTTTCAATTTGGTTTATTATCTGATTACAATATAATATATTATACTTTATTCAATATGTTAACAATATCGTTGTTATACAATTATAATATTGATACAATAAATTATAATACAATTATTTAATTTATTACTTATTTTAAAATTAAATATAATTACAATTTGAGAAAATTAGTTGCAATATATACCAAATCAAATCAATCAATTAAAATCTTTACCAACAAGATTTAGTTTTCAAACAAATCCATAATTTTGTCAAAATTAATATAAAATATTTTTAAAATTGTCTATAAAAGTAAATGATATTTATTTTAAATGTCAGATTAAGTATATTTCTTTTGAAAATAATATATAATTAATAAATTTAATATAAAATTCAATATAAAATGCACTTATATATTTTAAAGTTACATTAAACACACTTACTTATTATTATATAAGTTTTAGAAACTTTGTCTTTGTTGTCTCCAAAGACTTGTGATAGAAATGAAATATCAGTTATATTACAACAATTTAATCTAAAATTACAACTAATTATTAAATTTTTGTACTTTGTAAAATGATCATTTAAGTTAACCATGCTCATTTAAACAATCAATTAAATAATAAAGTAAGCTAAATTTAATAACTTGGAGTAAATCTAAAAGTTTATCATAAAAGTTGATCCAAAAGTTTGGACCAATAATAACGTCATTTGTGAACATATGGTGAATGAAAACACAAACACATGACAAGTGTTTTGATTTGACTTTTAAAGAGATTTGATAAGTGTTTTGAAACTAAATTTAGTTCATTTGGTATTTATTTAAAAGTTTGCATTGAAATGAATTTAACACTATTTACGAGTAAATCATGTATTTTCGCAAATGTATTGTCGACTCCGAGATGTAAATCAAATGCAATGAATCGCTGGTTGTGTTCATTAAATCACATGAAAGTCAAACACTTCTCAAACAAAAGTGATTTATTTGAAAACGAAAGACAAAAATGTTTTCAATTTCTAATTAGACGACAATTGAGTGCTAATAATGACGACAATCACTACAACTCCAGACCTTTAATGGCATTCAAACCATTAATTTTGCCAAACCTTTGGATCAAAATGAAGAATTGGATTACAATTCATACCATTATTCGTCCATTTCTTGACAATCACTTCAATTTAGAGGAATTCATCGATGGCTCCAAACAAGTGAGTTATCATCACAAGTGTCACCACAACTGGTCCTAATATATCTGCTCTTATATTGGTTTCAGGCTTTGATCCATATATCCCACTGTTTGGCCGATGGAAACTTGGATTCACTCAAAGATGTCATCAGTGATGAGGTTTTGAAATAACTGACAATTTATTTGTTTTAATGGTTTGAATGTTTGACTTTTTGATTCAGGCGTTGATTGAAATCCGTCACAACTTTCCTAAACTAAATGCCAAACAAATAGAAGACTTGAGAATTGTTTCAACGGATATCTTGTATTCATTTGTCCACACAATCGGAATCATTATGAATGACAGTAATAATAGTTATGATAATTGTCTCAAACATTGAACACTAATTGTTGTTTACTTTGCTATACGAAGACAACAATCGTTGGGTTGAGATAACTGTTGTCTACTATTGTCTCCATAAATACCAAACATTGAGCGAAAGGAAAGAAATTTCGTTCGAAGACTTTAAGGAGAAGTTTGGCCCCAATATTACAATTTGTAATTATAGGTAATTGATGTGTGTTTTACTGTCACAACATTTAAAACTAATTAATTTGGATGTAATTAACGTTACATTTAAAGGTTTATTAGAGACTATACTAAAGGAGTGGAAAACGACTGGACTGTCAATCTTTTGGCACATTTCACTAAAGATAACTTCTAAGCATTGGTTCTCGTTGTGGGAAATTGAAGTGAAAGTTGCCTTATATTAAAACAGTGTTACTTTACATCGTTTACAATAAACTATCTTTTGATGTTATTTTGAGTGACATTTAGATTATAGAACAGAAATACAAATATATTTATATTTTATCAATAAAATTATTAAAAATTGAAGACATGATTCATTTGAAAGAATGTATTGCTTTTAATATAAACCAATTTTCTATAATATAATAAATAACGAGATCTTATGCGTAAAGAATAGTGAAAACGAGTTTACGATTTAGTTATTAATCAGAGAAAACAATAGACAGTTAACAATACAAATAATTACAATTACAGTAAATTTATGAAATGAAAGGTTCAGACATAAAAATTATAAATTTATGGCACAAAACAAAAATTTAATAGATATTTAGAAAAAATTGCTAAAATGACTGATTGTTTCACAATCTCTTCAAATGTTGATATTTTTGATGATTTAGTTATTATGAATAAAATATAATTTTGAAATCAAAATCATTTGATTAGTTTAACGAGTGATTGGAGTAATAGAACCTTTAGTATAAGAGCTATGATATTAGGAAATAAATCACATGATAAAATAAGTTCACTAAAAAATATTAGTAAAATCATTATTAAAAACTTAAGATTCACTAAATTTCAAATCTGATTATTTGATTAAAACTAATGTAATTTCATTTTCTAACAAACAGTTAAAGACTTTGTGTTTTGATAAAAATATAAAACTCTTTATTAAGAATATTATGGAAATAAATACCACAAAAACATATATGGCGTGAATGTAAAGGTTCTCAAGAGTGGTATAGATTGTACTCAAGTATTTCATTAACTGTTTTTAAAACTGTTGGTCTCTATATTCAACTTTCTTGTGATCCATTGAATCCTTTTCCTCTCGAATTCGTTCAAAACAGTCGTAAAGGAAAACGTGCTGTCAGTCAATGCATTCAAACATATTTTCATTAATAATTAACCAATCAATCAATCAAATAGTCTTACATATGGCGTATGGATTCTAACAAAACGTGGCTTTTTATCGGGTCTACTATATTGAAAAGCAAATGCCAGACCTTCTTCATCGATCTCCCATTCCTTAATGCTTTCCCAATTGAAATCTATTACTTGTGACTAATTTAACACATTTTACATTAATATTATTTATAAATAAAAACAAAATCATGAATAACACACTTCTAGAGTGCCGTCGTCTTTACAGGCTTGTAATTTAAAGCAAGGGGTGCCTATCGTTGCGATCACATGTCCCTCTTTGCGGGCATCACAGGAACAGTGAGGAAACGATAGCTCTCCGTAACCATCGAGAGTTCGGGCGAGTTTTAGATACTGTATTCAAACAACAATTATTGCTAATTGTCTCAGTTATCACTCATTAGACGCAAACCTCTGATTTTTTGGACGAGTCTTGCAGTGCTTTGAGTTCATAGAGTTTATTTCCTGGTCTTATTTGTCCCTTATTTACATCATCGACAGCCTATCGGGAGTACAAATGCAAATCAAATACCAAAACACAGTTAACGTGTTATCAAGCGATTGATTACCTGCCAGAAGAAGAAAGTCTCGACCAAATCATCTTTACTTAACTCTATTTCTTTAGGCAAAGAGAATAACCATTTCTTAATGAGAAGACAAGTGGAGGCGGCGGTCGAGTAGTTCTGAATATACAATGAGTGCGGATATTCAGTTCGCGACAGTTTGCGTTCGAAGCCGTACTCAACCGTTTCGAATAACGCAAAGTATTCGCACATCTCTTTCTTCAGCCCTATCTTCTCGACCACCACTTCAAACACGTCAACCGTTGAGCTATTCTTCCGGACGTTCACTGATATTGTGTTTTTGTCGGGAAGAAGTATTTTCAGGTCAACCGGCGCTGAATTCGTACCCTTTTTATGGTCAAAAATAAGGGATAATTAAAATGTCAAAATCATTTGTTAAAAGCGACTCACGTGTTGGTCATCGAAATCAGTCAAAAACTCTTGCATTATATCGCATTCGGCGATCACTCGTACGGCGCAAACCTTTTCAAGATATTGCTCTAAACCCCTGCGCCGAGTGTCCAACTGTTGGTCAGACAGAGAGAAGGGCCACTTTCCCGGCAGTTTCGGGAATTGGAAATCCGGAAACTCTTTCTTCAGATTAGTGTTGAGATTCACGTATTCCTTATACCTTCGCGAACACAGATGACGGCCCGCCATATATATGTTGAACACCACATATTTGTCGGCATTTCTTTCGATGTAATTATAATCGGGAATAGATATGGGAAGCGAACGCTTTTCGCTGTAATCCAGGTATGAATAGCTGGACGTCTCGTCGTTCGGCTCCAACTTCTCGGCCTCCTTTCGGAACCATTCAAACCATCACTTCATGTCAACACTTATAGTAATGCATTCATTGACTCACCCGTGGAGTGACCGAAATCACCGTAAGTGTCAGTTTGTCTCCACCGCTCTTTATTAGATCCACAACTGTTTCCATTACAACAAATCACAACACAATTAGTTTGTAATTACATATTAATATCAATCATATATACGAAGACAAATACCCTGCTTATGAGTGGCGCCCTCGACGTTAATGCCATTCCTGTTATTCAACGATATATAACACATGATTAATACAAAGACTCAACGATAAGAGTATGTCATCAAAGAGTACGAACACTTCGAGGATTCGGTCGCCTTTCCTAATG